TGATCAATACAGTTTTTACTTATCTCTACAGGCTCTTCAGTAATCGTCTCATGGCCCGTTTTAACATGAAGGGAAAAGGGAAAAAAAGACAAGATGGCCCTAGTGACCTCATACATATACAGAGCAATCCAAGGTATGCACAGGCTGTGACAAAATGTTCGAAAGGTCAGAGGTTTCAATCCATGTTGGACTTTGCTATTTCTTTGTGCAAAATGATGTATGCATTTTGAGTTTCCTTGTGGGTGCTTCTCACTTCTTTAGGGTGGATTCATTGTTTATGTAGGATCAACAGCACTTAATTAATTAGTTAATTTTATTCTAATTATCTCATGATGTGTCTGAATACTTCGTTTGAGGGTTGCGCTCAAACCGTTGAAAGCACTGATAGTTTAAATCAGTTTAGTGAAGCAAGCAAGCACATACACACACACACACACCCCGCTTGCACATATCAGAGGTTGCGTTAGACATTTTTTTGTCCAGACATGGTTGGACAGGGTTGTAAAAATTCCGTCATAATCTATTATTACCCGTCGTATTATTTAATTATTATTATTTAAAAATGATAAGACATTTAATAACTTTTATTTTTATTTCATTTTCAATTATGAATTACAGGACGAGTTGAGGATTGAGTAGATTATGAATTTATTAATTTATGAGGAGAACAGATGAACAGAGGCTGTGCGTCACTTTTCAAGGTCAACACCACATGAAGCAGATGAATGTTAATTGTTTTTTTTCTTCGAAGTGTCTGCGGAAAACACTAAAACACGACCTCTGTGCTTGAACAAAATGATTACACAAATGTATTAATGATCCATTCGGCGGAATTTGGAGTGTAAGAACGAATTCTCCAAATAAATCTGCCTGCGATGTGCCGCTTTCCGTGTGTCGCTCTTTGACACTGAACTCTCCACGTCCAATGTGAAACTGCCGTTAAAGTGGTTCATGATCGGTCCACGGGAATTCTCCCGATTCTCCAAATTAATAATTAATAATAAAATTAAGATATTTTTGATGGAATCTGACAGCTCTCTGACATGATTGTGAAACAAATCATTTCGATCTCATGGAGACAGAGAGCTTGCCACTCATTGATGACAACTGCATCCCTCATTTTGATCTGAATACTGTAATAATCACTCATACTTTTGAGTGGTCTGATAAAATCATATTGCTTTTTATTTGGAATCTTCAAGAAAATCATCTCATCTTTAAAGTTAGACATGAAACAGTCATCACTTGCTTCACTTCATTCTTAATTTTCAAGAGCAGTACACTGAAATAGTACAATTTCATCTGGACCAGTCTGGCTCTGTATTTGAGCTGGTACTGACAGAATATCAATTAACACAGTACTGCAAAGGACATCTACATCTTGTTGAGCCAGTGCTCACCATGTGCTCGTGTTAATAGCAATGAGAAAGAGGACACCTTTCTACAGGAATCCTCTAATCTGGCCCATGAGATCCAATTACCTGCAGAGTTTAATTCTAACCCTAATCAAACACACCTGAGCCTACTAATCAATGTCCACACACACACACACACACACACAGCAGTGAGTAGTGAACACACACACACACCATGGTTCAGTGCAAGGGTCTCACCGCAGTTGTGATATTGAGGGTGGAAGAGAGCGCTGTACAGTCACCCCCCCTACAATCCGTGCCGAGACTCGAACCTGTGACCTTTGGGTTACGACTCTCTAACCATTAGGCCCCATCCTATTTCATCAGTGTTGAAGCCTGGTAAAATGGTTAATCAGCATTGCATTAATTTCTGTCTCCAATACTGGGAACCTTTGAATTTCATTCCAGTTTAAATCCAGCACGACAGGAGTTTCTCTTGTCCTTAGGTCAACTTGAAGCTTCTGAACAATGCCTGGGACATTGGCCTCAGCTTCAGAAATCCTTACCACTGCAACACTTTTGAGAACAGGTTTTCCATCTTGTACTTCTGGAATGTTTATTGCTTATTGCAAAAATTTGGAAACAGATTCAACTCTTGATAAATTCTCAAACAGTGTTTCATTTACATACAAACCCTGTTGCCATAACAGAAGCTCATTACTCTTGAATGTAAAAATAATACCATAAACTATTAAATTACAAAGTTTTTTAAACCTTGTCCAACTTCGGCTTGCATGGGGCATTGATGCAAGAACAGATTCAGATGATGCTGGCCTTGTGAAAGAGAAGCGTCTCTAACCTGACACAAATGCTGAGGTTGATGGGGAGTAGGGCAGGGTCTCTAATGGATCTCCATGGAATTTGTAATGAGCCCTGAGTGTCAAGTCCAGTGAGCTGAAAGACCCTTCTGCATTGGGAAATATTGCAACATCTGCATCATCAGTCAAAAACACTGACATGAAACGTGGCTAAGCCCATATTTTCCATAACTGCTATTAAAGTAAGGTTTTTAAATTGATGTTGCACATTGGTTTTCCATTTACCATCAATTTCCATTACAGAACTGTTATAAATGTAACATTGGCCTATTACAGAATTACAGTGTAAAATTCCAAAAAAGTTAGATTCATAACTACAAAATACATTAGCAAAAAGGGTTACAAAGCTTGGACGGCTCTACATTTATCTATATTCATGTGTATTTTTACATATAGGCCTCCTGCATGTTAACAGGTCATGCTGCAGTTTTCTGTAAAATATATTGATAATAATGTTTTTATTTAGTAATAAAAATAATACGCCGGAATGAGAGTATAGTTCCTAGCCATATCAGCCTAGAAAATCGCAACTTTTCATTTTCCGTCGGTCTTTTAGTACACGATGCAACTACAGAAGAGTCAAGTTCTAAATAGGAAAAATATCGAAAAGCTTTGGTCATTTTTGAGCGAGATGCTAATGGTCTAATCAGATTCAATGATCTATGCTAAGCTAAGCTAAAAGTGCTACTGCCAGACCCGGAGATCGGCTGAATGGATTCGAAAATGGTAAAACTCAACTGTTTAACTCTAGGGGAGTTGGAAAATTAGCCTATTTTCAAAAATAGTGGAGTGTTCCTTTAAATTACTTTTGCCATGGAAGGTGACATTACTTCCATAACCCAATAATGATTATATAAAAATCGACTGAGGACAGTACTACATTCACAGTAATTTTTGGTGGCATACCTGTTCTTTCCTCCTGTAAGTGTGACAGTGACAGCCCAGCTGTTGATTAAAAAATTCAAGAAGTGATGCTTTTTTGACTGAAATAGTGGTTTGCCAACGATTTGCAATTTGCCAATGACTTTAGATATCACATACTTTGTACTGGTGAAGGCGTGAATGTTGGTAGGTTTCTACTTGTAGGTGTGATTTGAACATCCACTGAGAATAAACAGCGAAACAATGATTAAGTTTCAATAACTATTAAAAGGAAACAGTCATTTTTTATAGCATGATTCTTTTTGTAATATTACACAAAGCAGTCAAAAAGTTACAACTTAATGTAGGGTCGGGCACGTTTCATCTAAATGTGTTGGGCACAAAACCTGACCTTTATCACAAACAAGGACATATGACAAATTAGAACGTTAACAAATTTGTAGAATGTTTAACCCATATCTACACAAGATATACTAGCGTAACCCTGTTTGTACAGGAGAAACACAGCCTTTCTGTAGACACTTCCTCTGTTTGTCAGCATTCGCTTTGCCAATGTCAAGTCACTGCTAACAAACATGATGTTGAAGAGCTTTGAGTTGCATGGCTTTTCAAAGACACTGTCACAGTCAGTTTCCCTGAAGACATCTATCCTTAGTGTTCCATTACTCCTTTTCTCTCCAATAAATCCCACCACATTGTCCATCAGGAGCACACAGTTGTCAGGCATCTTTGCTGTTATCTCGCTGTGCCATGATGTGTGACTGTGTCCTGATGAGACGCGCAATTGTGAGATATAAACTCGCAATTTCAATTTGTTATTTTCTTTTTTATAAAAAAAAAAAATTTTTTTATTAAAAAAAAAAAAAAACAAGCAGATAAAACACTAATAACGCGGTCTCCGAAAAAACTCACGTGATCCACGCAAAGTGCGTGCAGGCGCCACATTAAAAAAAAAAAGGGGGGAAAAAAGTGAGGTAAACGCAGTAACGCATAGTGAGAGATAGACACGGAACATACATGAATTATGAAGCCAATTAGTAATTATTTCATAAGACAGAGCGTGACAGAAACAGTCGATCCTGAGGAGGATATGGAAGAGGAGGGCGACGAAAACGTAAAAGAGGGACCAAGCGGCGATAACGGTTCATCCTCCACTGCTGGTAGGAAATACAATTTTAATCCACAGTGGCAAAAAACATTCCCATGGCTAATTTTTGAGGACAACTTAATGTACTGCAAGTACTGCAGAGGACAGAAACAAGCGGGCAACTCAGCCTTTGTTAGCGGCAACCCTCATTTTAAACGAGATACAGTACAAAAACACGGTAAATCGCGGAGGCATGCACTCTGCAGAGATGCGTACATAGCACGAGAAAACAAAGGATCGGCAACCATACAGGCAGCTGTAAGAAGGCAGGTGCTGCTCTCTGAAGAAGAAAAAAGACGACAGCTGAAAATAAAATTTAATATTGCGTATTATATTGCTAAAGAAGAGACAACCTTTGTGAAGTTTGGTCCGGTTATTACCCTACATAAGAAAAACGGACATATGACAACGATAAAAGGTGTGCAGAAATGATTGGACAAATTGCAGACACAATGAAAGGAAGCCTTGCAGAAAAGTTGAGAGCAGCACATTATCTGTCCGTTTTGATCGACGGAGACAGCGACATCTCGAACACGGAATGTGAAATAGTGTATGTGCGGCTCTTGGAGAACGGAAAGCCAGTAAACCTTCTGGTTGGACAACAGAGCCTTGAACATTCACATGCTCTTGGTAAGAAAGCTGTTTCTCTCCTTGTTTTAGATTATTTTTGTATAACATTTAAAAGTTATAAAAGTGTTTGCTAGGGCTGATCATTTGGGTGCAACTGCTTGTCATATGTTAATATGGTTAATGTTAATCTGACTACCATAACAAACTCTATAATGTTGCAGTTTCATTTCTGCATTTAAATGCAATTGTACACAGTTGAATTATGGTCGTTAGTCCTATTAGCAGCACAAACATGAAATTATGAATGAAATTATTTTATTAGTATTTATTAGTTTCCTATTAATTGTGCAGCCATAGTAATTTGTAGTAATAGTTTTTTATATTTTGTTCACTATGTGATTATTTAATGTTTTCCTTCAAGGGGTGCTGAATGCCACCAAGGCTGCATTTGATGCAGTTTGCCCGGAGGATAATGGAGGATGGCTAAGAAAATGTGTGTCTTTCGGTGCAGATGGGGCCTCTGTTAATATGGGTACACGTGGGGGTGTGATTGCCCACCTGCAGAGTGAGGCAGGGAGCCATATAATCCCAATCCACTGCATGCCACACAGGTATATTCAAGCTCAATACAATTCAATGGAAATTGCGACCATAGTTAGCTAACAGTGCTTTTGAGAAATGCAGCCCTGCACAATTCTGAATAAATTGAATATCACAATTTTTTTGTTTAAAGTAGATACAATTCTCCCACCATTCTCTAGAGTAGGCAACTAATCACAACAATGTAATTGATACAAGCTTTATTTGAAGCAAAATATTACTTTCAAAACTTTAAATTTAAATTGCTACTGTAGACTTCAGTGTTTATTTCCAAACTATAAACATTTGGATCAGAATGATTATGAGACAGAAATAATGACACTGTCCAAAAGACTGTTTGTGAAAGTTTTTATGCCTATACATGACAAAACTGCTGTCTATGAATCAGCAGCAGTACCAGCACAAATTTGATTCGCTGTGATCATACTTTTCAAAGGTTTAACAAAAAGGTGAATCATACGTATAAGACTGCATGGGTGTTTGAATCAAGACTGTAAGCTTTTTATCCGATTAATCATGCAGCTCTATAACCGTGTATACGAGTGTAAGGGAGAGAGAGTGTAACCTGGGAAATGTCTGCTTCTTGCACAGACTGGAACTTGCGATACTAACCCTACAGAAGACAGAACCTAAGGTGGCAGTAGTCTATGATCTCCTGCATCTAATTTGGAAGACCTATCACTTTAGTGGCAAGTCAAAACGAGAGCTCTACAATCTCGGACAAGAACTTGGAGTGGACATCTGCAGTCCCAGCAGTGTCAAGGGAACTCGATGGATCCCCCACATACACAGAGCTTTGAAGGTGTTTCTGCGACATGGACAGGGCAAAGACCTTGCCAGTGACCCAGATCAATACTCTGTGGTTCTTCAACATATGGAGCATCTGGCAGCCTCAGCATCCACATCTAGTGAAGTTCAAGGACGGGCAAAAAAGGTCTGTTTTCTGGTGAAATTATGAATTTAAGTTATGTTTAACTCTTGAGGTTCATAATCATAATAAAATAACAGATGGCTGAGTATATTTCTAACAAAAAGGTGAAACTTAATTGTACTGTTTACTTGCTACTCCGCAGATAAAGATGAAAATGGAGAGTACTCTTTTCTGTGTATTTTGCCACTTTCTTTGTGACCTGTTTGAGGAGCTAGCTACTCTTAGCCTCACACTACAGAAGAATGATTTGATCCTCCCCCAAGCCACCTCAGAATTGAAAAAAACAGTAACCAGACTGGAGGCACTAAAGATAAATCCAAAACCAGGTGGCCTGCTTGAGAAGGTCCAGACCTCATTTGCTCAGCAGCGGGGTGATGAAATGAGCTTCCAGGTGGGTTTAGAGAAAATCAGTGTGAAAGATTTAAGAGAAATGTATTATTGTAAGGGTTACGATAGACATCTTCACAATCATATGAAGTAGAGCAGAAGAGTTTGAGGATAAGGGAAATGCAAAATTAAAATTCTGTCATCTTTTACTCACCCTCAAGTTGTTACAAACCTTTATGAGTTTATTTCTTCTGCTGAACACAGAAGATAAGAAATTCTCTCAAATATAATTTTTTTTGTGTGTTCAGCAGAAAAAAGAAACTCATAGGTTTAGAACAAATTGAGGGGGAGTAAAAGATGACAGAATTTTCATTTTTAGGTGAACTAACCCTAAGTGTGTATATGTGTCTTTTGAAGGGAATGAAACTGAAAGGGAATGTCACATGCCTCAAACATCCACAGCTGAAGCGGCACGTAGAAGCTGCCATCAGCATCAGTGTGGATGCCATCAAAGCAAGGTTTGGTGGTTTGGTGAAGAATGAGGGGATCCAGACCATACTGGATTCTTTCAGAGTGCTCAACCCTGACACATGGCCAGAGGAACAAGCTAACCTACTTACCTTTGGAGATGACAGCATAGCAGACCTGGTGAAGCATTTTGAAAAGCCTCTAACAGAGTAAGAATTAATTTGATAAGGCACAGCATTGCCATTTGAGACACCTGTTGCATATGTGCAAACTCAAATTGCTCTGTTCTGTGTTTCAGAGCAGGGTGCAAAATTGCTACAATCCAGGATGAATGGCAAGGGCTCAAAATCCTAGTGAGCCAGAACTTCAGGGACAAAACCTACTCTGGCTTACGGGAGATGCTGCTGACAAAGGACCCCTACAAGCAAGACTACAAAGTAAGGCAGTGCAGTCCAAAATTGTCCAGACACAACTTCTATTTTTTATTTTTATTTAATTAATTTAAAATGTTGTCATCTCCCATAGAACATACTAGAGTTGGTGCAGATTCGCTGTGCCATGATGTGTGACAGAGACCTGATGAGACGCTGCGCCTGGACCCATTACTGCGGTTAGGACTTCTAGATTTATGTTTTTCATGTTGACAGCCTGAAAAACACACAAAGAATGTTCTTAGATTTATCATGATTAGTTATTAAACAAAAAAGTGGTTAATTTAATGCAATAAATAAATACTTACTGGATGTGGACATTTCTCTGCTCCGAGACCCACCAACAAACTCAGCCTGACTGGACAAGGCTGGAAATTCAATGAACAAAATTGAAATCGCATCATACGACACCTTTAAATCAAAAATAAGAAAATCCATCTCTAACATAATGAATGTATAATGAATATGCCATCGTGTGAATTTTTTTTACCCATCATGCTCTCGTCTTCCAACTCATCAGAATCTGTTCAGATCAAATCAACATTTTAAAACATGAATTGTTAAAAAAAACATTTCCATGTTTGACATTACTGTATGTAGTGAGAAACACACCAAGGACATAGTCATCAAAATTTATTTTCTATCTTTTCCTCTTGCTATCAACCACTAATTCCTCTTCGGCTTGGCTGGTCAAGTTATAGCTTTCGCAGTCACGAATATTATCTAGAGGTGTAATAAACATTATAATAACATAACTCACTAATTATGTAATAGTTTGAACCATCCTTTAATCAAAACCTACCTAAAGTAATTTTTCTTTTAATTTATGGGAACATCAGCCAGTCATCCTGGGGGTCTTTTTTCATCCTGAAAGCTTCTTTTGTTCTATTATTTGGCCATTGAACTGTTTTGTTATTTATGTTTATCCAATTATTGGGAAGTGTGCCTTCCATTTCCTTTCCATTTTCCACCCAGACAGCCCTGGTAAACATGCTCTGAAAAGTACAGTATATGCATGTTACTTTATCAGTTAAGTCCATATCCATATCAACTTGTAGTACAGGAGAAAGTATAAATTTGTATTAGGGCTGTGAGATTTGGACAAAAAAATTCTAGTGCACTGCCGGACCGCAATCGCGTGCAGTGTGAACGCTCTGATCCGTTAACATGGGCGCGGATAAAATACGCACCACAGACGGAGTGTGTGAACCTGGCGTTACGTTTGTATGCCCGCCCGGTCTGTTCTGTTCTCGTGCTCCATTTAGGCGCGCTGCATTCTGATTGGTTCGGATAGCATACTGCGGGAGGTCGGGGCGCGGAAAATCGTGCTATAAAGCGATTTAGAAATCGCGCAAGCTCAAATCACGATTTTATGACGATTTCGATTAATCGCACAGCCCTACATATGACCCCTTTAACAGGTGAGTCCAAAACGTAAGATCAGACAAGCACCCTTTGTCTAAGTGAATCGAATCATTTAACTTAGGCACAGAGTGAGCAAAGGTTAGCAGACGGGATATAAATGTCCTGCCTTGGGGAGTGATACTCATGGCAAAATTGAGATGACCAAGCAGAGATAGCATGTCTTTTTTAGAAATGGCACGTAAAGCAAAAAAAAGACCCTATGACCGACCTAATTCTGAGATATTTTTCATTTGGTAGAGAAGCTTGCATTTTCACTGTCTCGAGTAAAATGCCCAGGAATAGCAAATATAAGACGAAGGGAAGCTTACATTCAACAGGATCCAACACAGTGCTTCCGATAGACAGTCAAAAATGTGCGGACTGCTTCGACAATCAAATGGTAGTCTAATTCCAAAATAGAATTTTCAATTTCATTTGACACTGAAAAGAGCCCAATCTGAGGGATGAATAGGTATAGTTTTGAAAGCATCTGTAATGTCGGCTTTAGCTAGCCAAGCACCCTGACCTGCTAACTTGATTAACTGAATGGCGTTATTGACCGAAGCGTAATGCAAAGAGAAAGGTTCTGAAGGCATACATTCATTGATGCTAACTATATTATTAGAATGGGGAGAGGAACATGTCGAAAATTAACAGTTTTTTCCCCCTGAATATTTACAGGTAGCGACTCCAAGCGAATTAAGGTGAAAAGGACTACATGGGGGAGAGTGAAAAGGACCGATCACATATCCTTTATTTACTTCTTTCGTAGCAAAAAACTTGCAATCAACACTTGCAGAGCCTGATGTTGTTTCTGCTCAGCTGAAGAAAGAAGTAGAGCGAGAGGAAAGGACTCCCACCCGAAACCCTTGAGACAAACCAGTAATTAAGAAATTAACAAAACAAGTATCAGGGTAAGAAGAGAGATAGCATGAGAGTACTGGGACATTAATTGGAGTAGAGGGGTGACCACTGAGAATTTTTTCCGAGTGGGGGCTTTCCCTTGAGTAGCAGGCCTGTATCGACGTGGCCAGACCGATTTTGGGTGTGGATCCTTGCAAAAGCTACAAAAATGAGCAAATTTGCATTGAGGAAAAGAACACACAGATTCATTAAAGTTATTACATAGGGCACTGCCGTTGAATTCCAAAATAGGACACCCTTTAATGTCAAATGGCATGCTTAATTTTTCAGCACCATGGACAGCAGCCAGAACTCGGCTATTGTGCGCTTTGGGGCAGAAAGGTGCCGAGTGACCATGAGAGCTACAGATAGCGCAAGCCAAGATTTTCTGACCGCCAAAATGACGGACTAGCAATTCCATGTCTGTAATTGACCAGTTTATCCTATAGTTAAAGAGTGTAGTAAAATAAGCAGACTTCGCTGAGAATGATTTATAATACTCATAAAATAACATGCCCCCATACCGTTGATTAAAATCTGCCATCATAGCCAAGTAAAGTTCCAATTCTTCCCTTCGATCAGGAAAAGCTTGACATAAAATATCTCAGTAAATACTGAAAGCAATGATGAATTCGGCAAATGAAAGATTCCACTGCAGTCTAGGATCTGACGTTTTGAGGAAAACTGCCACATCACCACAGTCAACCATTTGCCGATCAGCTGCGGGCGAAGGGAGCAGCAGTGAAGCTAAGTTAATGTCTTTACCTTGGATAATATTTGATCTTAGTTGGGGGGACACGGTAACTGCGGCAGGCGATACAAAACGCCTACCAAAAACTTGTGCTGGAACTGTGGTGGAGAGATTGAAAGGAGATAGAGATGGAGCAGTTGCGTCGCGTCTTGATTCGGAGTGTGGGCCGAATGATGAGTAGGTGCCTGTATTGCCGAGGATGTAGAAGGAAAACTCATAGGATTGCTAAATCCAGGTAGATGAGGAAATACCAGGAGGGAGCCTGAAGAGCTTGTAGGAGGAGTTATCCCTGGAGCACGACCAGCACATACGTTCTCGAAGAAAGCCAATCTGGATTCGAGGCCCTTAACAGTATCTGAGAGGCCTTTTACGGCCTGAATGAGCTGGACATTGACATCGGCAGTTACGGTGTTAGACGGAGGTGGCGAGGTTTGCACAGATAGGGTAGGTTTTTCTGCTTGATGAGGAGAAGATGACTTAGCAGACCACTTCCTACCGGTTTATTTGGGCTGAGCTGGTGCTGAGGTTGGCTGGACAGCATCTGCAGGTGGAGTGTCCTAGGTATTGCAAGCCAGTAGGAGCAAGTCTTCTGATAGACCTTGGTTAATTATTCTTTAAAATGGAAATTAATCAAATAAAGCTAATTGTCAATCTGAGAACATCTGAAAATGCTATTAAGCAAACTGCATCACAGGTGTGGTGTTTACTACTAGTGTTGCCTTTTCTGTTAGGTGATTTAATTGCTCCAAAGAGCCCACATTGGCATCTTTTCTTGTTGTTGAGGGAAATGTGACAATTTTTGCACCTGTTGTGTCAAAAGGGCTTGCTGCTTATCTTAAACAACTAATCACCATACACAATTCAAGTTTCTTTATCCTGACAGGAATCTTATTCCTAAACATCACTATGACACACACTATCCATGTATATTATGACTTTATTTGGACCTCTTTCCAAGTTGAGGTGCATGAGGTTCGAAGTAAAACATCACCCTCTTAAGCGACAGGCCCAAGTAGACTAGGAAAAGCAAAAAATACAGAGAAATTAACAGCTTTACTCAGCTCCTACTCAGTCTACTTATTACTCTGAAGCAGCCCCTCCCCACTTCACAGAACTGCTGGAGCAGCTTGCTCGCTGTTAGGGCTGTGAGTGCTTAATTTCCCCAGTAAAGTACAAGAAAGATGAAAGATTCTTTCTAAATAAAACTACAGGGAGGTGACTGTCACTAGCGTTCCATTGAGAGAATGCTAGTTAAGTACACTAACAGCCTTCAAAGCTATACTACAGCACACTCCAGTCACTCACCTATCCTCTATGGGTTCTGATGTTTGCTATGACTGATGTTTCATTAGAAGATGGAGATGTCGCACAGTAAAGTTCGCACACCAACTACAGGGACAGACTAGGGCACGCAGACCAGTGAGGAGCCCAGGGAAGAACCGAAGTGCAAGAGAACCGAAGGCCTCGGGGGCCAACCTTGTGGTGAAGACTTCCTCAGGTTTTCCCCATCAGTAGTTTTATCCCCACCTCACTGGTCCATAGGTGTCAAATTTCTTAAAACTAGATTAAGAAAAACACTACACACGATCAACAGAAGTCTAAAAAAGGCTATGCATGAACACTGCTGGCCTGCTGTTTCTTTGTTTTCTTTTGTTGCAGGTATGTGTATATGCTATGTCGTCTCATATGTAGCATCCTGGTGTAAAGCATCACCTCAGACATCCATGAGCAAGCTTCATGAGGGCAAAGAGTCATCTGAGTGACATTACGTGGAAAATGGACAGAAAACAGATGGACATGGACATTCAGGACTTCCACTCTTATGCTACATGGTTTTCTGTGTCATCATGCAGTTTGTACGATGTTACCATCCCTTGTCGTATATGTGTTAACAGGTGTAGTAGTTCTTTTCAGAACCATAACTAAGTAAATCTAGGACAAGACACAAAATAAGTTATATGTGCCTGTAACTTTTTCAAGTTAAATGACTGCAAGATGGGACTTTAGGCTATAGAATGGACTTATGGCGGTTTAAATTTGAATTATGTGAGAGTTATTAGAACTCTCAAAGGGGGGACTGTGGGATTACAAATTTAAGAATCTGTCTTAGAGCTACTTGATCCTAT